GCTTATTCCGATATGTGTCCAGCCCTCAAGGAGTTCTATCTAGTACAGACTCTGTCTGGGCATCTGGTTTATTATGTGTATTATTTGTGACATCCATAGTGAGAGAGGTCCAGCTAAAATATCAAGGAATTCAGTGCCTCAGGGGATGACACTAATCTAGGTATGGGGGAAGCTTCACGTCAAAGGTGACAGTAAACGAACCTCAAAGGACTCGTAAAGAGAGCAGCTTTGTGCAGCGTGGGACATAAACTTAATCAAATCTCCTGTAAACCACCTGAGGCTCACCTGTTGCACATATGCATCTTTGTTCTATTCCTGATGGTATGGACAGAAACTTCTGTAACCAATATGGCTGCTGCTAATGCCTCCTCAGATCTAGGAAGGCTGACAGTCTCTCCTGCTATCCTTTTGCACTGCAGCATGACTTTGGATAGAATTTTGGCTTGCAAAAAAAAAAAAAATTCTATTTAGTCTAAATTGCAGCTGGCTGCATTCCATGCTGAAGTCTGGGGTGCCCCACTATCATTTCTTGGGTCCTTCCTTTCTTAGGATCCAGAGCTGTTCTTTCTTTCTTAAAACACTAGAGGGACCCTGCTTGTTTATTTGGGAGACGCTGCAGCTTGTGTAATAGTGATTTAGCAAATCAGGTCTGAAAGTCTGTGTTTACAGATAGAAGTCCTTTAGCAATCATTCATTGGGCGCAGAGAGGTAGTTAGCCAAAGGTTTATCTTAAGAACTTTAAAGTTAGGTTTTTAAGTGACTAAAGGAATTATGTTTATTAGAAATCTTTGTTAAATATACCTAAATAGAAAAAAGAGAGAATAAATGTGATCCGTGATTCTGCCAGACAGGCATAACTTCTGTTATGTTTTAGAATTTATCTGGTCTCACTTTTTTTTTTTTTTCAAAATAGAAGGTCAACTGCAAATAGTTTCCCACAAGGCAGATTTAAGTGCTTAGGTAACACACACACCCAGACACACACAGACCAATGCTTAGCTCCATTCTCCAAGCTAAGGAAAAGAGCTCCACTTATCTTTGTTGTCTTTGGAGAGAGACTTCAGAAATATTCCAACGTAAGAACACGCATGGGGATGTTGTGTTTTTTCATCACCGTCTATTCATACTTTTCTCTCTTTCATTTTAGGCCAGGTTGGTTTCTCAGTTTGTGTTTCTTAGAAGCAGAACCTGAAACGAGGATTCGAGTTTGAGTGATTTATTCGGGAGGTAAAGAAAGCACCAGTATAGGAGTGAGGAACTGAGACAGGAAAGGAAGTTGAGCAGTAAAAGGCAGCTGTCACGGTGCGCGGCTGGGGCTTCCTGTGGTCCAGGGCTCTCTGGAGGTCAGAGTCAGCCCACCTGGGGGACCAGAGGGCTGCAGTGCTTGTACAGCAGATCCCATCTTTACAAGTTGAAGGCTGCTCTTGGGGGTCGTTAATTCCCCAGTTCTTTGGGTCTGTCAGGCAGGTAGCAGTGAATGTTCTTAGGCAAAGAAATGCAGGATCCGTCCGCCTTAAATCTGAAGTGACAGGAAACGTAAACTCCCCCAGTGGGTCGTTGTGTGTAATTGTGATAGGGGCTATTTCTACTTCCATCTCCTGGATCCCAGACCCATAGGGTCTAGGCGTCAGGGACCTACACAGCATTATCATATGACCATTGGCTCAAAGTATATGCGGTATATAGAGCATCTTGAAACAAGAGTGCTCTGCCCATGCTATGTGTCACCCCTGAACTGTCTTTTTCCTCTGCTCGTGAGGCCATTCCAGCATTCAGCTAGCCGGTAGCTGCGGACGGTGCAGCGTAAAGGAGGCTGTGCTGGCTTCGCGGTCCGTCTTGTTCTTTCTCGCCACCAGCCGTGTCCCTTAGACTGAGGTGCTGTTAGGTGGGGTCCATGATGATCACACAGACATTCTGTGAGCTCTTGGATAGTAAGTTAAAGCATCACAGCCTGGGAGAGAAAATCTGTGTCTGAAACGTGTGTTAATCTCAGTAAGATCAAAACATTGCATCCTCCAATGTGGAAGGGGTCTGATACAACCAACTTCATACCATGTGGCAGGTCAGTTTCCTCAAGGGATGGGACCATACCGATGGCCCAGAGTCAGTGTCTTACTGACAAGATGAACAGTCAGCAGAAACAGCAAGGCTGTTCGGTTAGCCATGGTGAGAGAGCTCATGCTGTTGGGTTTATGTGTGGCCTCCTTTCCTGCCACCAGGGCTGCTCTGTTGAGGGGTCTGCTGTGTCAGCACCGAGATGACAGGATAAAGACTGGCTAACATCAACCGGTAGAATCCTCCTGTTCACTCTGCCAGGGACTTGTACAGCAGATGATACTGACATTAATAATACAAGACGTAGAGATCTGCATACGTTGTGCAGACACCCACAGTCTCATCTACATGCTCCTCTCCCAGATTTCTTTGTCTCTGTTCTTCCAGTCTTGCATTTTCCAGGTAGCTGAATAACCAGCCACGCCCTGTGTAATATCTCAGAAATCTGTGTATATTTTTAGTGCAGACCACTTGCACTTACAGTAGAATTTATATAGTATTGTGATTTCTCTAATGGCTGATATCGGTGGTTTTCTTTTTTTCTGATGAATCTGATAAGTTTCTTGCTTTTATTGATCTTTTCAAAGAAACTGCTTCCTTCTCTATTGCTTTTCCCATTATTTTCCTGTTTTCCATTATGAGTTTACCATGGCTGCTGTAACACACTATCACAAACTGGGGCCGGATCAAGATGGCAGCTGGTCCACACTCCCGCCAGAGAAGGTGGGGGAGCATTCTTTCCTCGCCTCTTCCAGCTTTGCCGGACTTCCTTGACCTGGGAGCACGTCTCGCCGATCCCTTGCTCTGTGTTCACACTGCCTTCTCCTCCTCAGATTCTCTCTCTCTAATCTCCTCCACCTCTCTCTCATAAGGGCACTTGTTACTGCATTTGGGGCCCACCCAGATGATCTAGGACAACGTCTTCATCTCAGATCTTTCATTTAATTACATCTGCAAAGAAGCCTTTACCCAAATCAAATAATATTTATAGGTTCCATACATTAGGACCTGAAATCTTTGTGGAAGGGACATTATTCTAGTGATCACATGGTGCTTACATAGGTTTTATTTTATGACCCAAAATATAGTCTATCTTGGTAAATATTCTAAGTACACTTAAATCAGTATGCGTTCTGCTATCGCTGAATAGAATGTTGTATAAATGATAATTCTTTCCGGAAGACATATTATTTTCTTTTATTCTATACATACAGATTTTCTTAGGTTTTAGAAAGGTTTTTACAAATTACATTTCTCTTTTTCAGAGAGAGCAATTATTTGTATGTTAGATCTTCCTTTCTGCTTTATGAATCATTTCTCTATAAACATTTTGAAGCTATGTATTATCTTTCAATTTAAAAAAATTACAATGTTTCTCATGTGTCTTCCATGATTGTTTTAAGTAGTGTTTATATATATGTTTTTGTTTTATGTCATGTGGCTGACAATTCTCATCCAATTTTCTTTCCTGGGCTCCCCCAACTTACTTCCCATTGTCTAATATAATGTTGTTATTCTTTTTTCAACCTTGTTATTCCACAGAATGGATGTTTTTATTTTTAAAAATGTAATGAAGAGTTTTCTTATAATCTTCTCTGTTAATAGAGTGCTTTTTCCCATATTTTCCATTTGCTTTTTCCTTTTTCAGGCTTAACAGTATCATTCACTTATTTCTAAAATCTGTTTTTGTTGTCTTCTTAATGCTTTTAATTGGTTTTAAGAAGAAACACAGAAATACTTTTCCCCTGCCATGTTGAATTAAAAGCATGTAACATAATTTTAATTGCTGAATATAAATCATTATGAACTATAGATTTTTTTGGGGTTGTTTCCCATTAATTCAATGAATACTTACACAACACTAATTATTAATAAACTTCTGAGATAGATACTTAGTAGGAGTTAAAAATGAACTACCAATGAGATTATGGGGTTGGATAGAATGAGATATTAGCTCTTCTTGATGGCATAAACAGGGTCCTCAAAGAAGGTGGTGATGAGAGAGTTTAACTAGTGCTGTTAGACTCTATGCTTTCTTCTCTCTCGTGTGACCCTTCCAGCCCCAAAGACTGCCTTGCGGCTGGTGCTTTCCTGATTCTGTTCATCTTGCCAGCACTGCCTGAGATAGCTTTCTCTTCACTTCCATTTATCTAATTTTATCTTTCCAGACTAATTCCTTCTTGAAATGCTCCCCTCTCCTCCTGTTTTATAGTGATCTGTCTTTCCAGGACTGTGTTTTATTTTTTCCTGGAGGGAAGCAAAAGCTACTCTGAGCTGCTGTATTATTTTTACTTCTAGGTATTGTCTCCACAATCATGCTCTAATTCCCTTACACTAATAAGTGACGTCACTGAGTACTGATTCTGTGCTGGACACTCTTTTAATTACTTTAAATGTGTTAATTAAATCCTTCCAACATCTCTGTGAATAGATGCTCTTGTTTTCTTTTTTTTTTTTTTAGAGATTAAAAGGATGAGACATAGGGAGATTAAAAAATTTGCTCAAAGTAAGAAGCTTTCCTCAAAGTTAAAAACTTTACTCACAATCAGTAAAGCTGTGGAATCGAGATTTACACCCAGGTGATGTGGCTTCAGAATCCAGACAGCAAAAAGAATTCAGCCCAGCTGACAGTGGGCACTCAATGTGTCACTCCCCAGTGTAGAAAAGAACTCTCTTTTGGCAAGAAGGATCCCAAAGGAGGGAAAAAACTCACATTATTTTCTTAGGAATCCTCTCTTTGAGAGAAGTCAGTTAGGAAATAATACTTGGTCCCCATGCCACAAAGATCATTTTAATTTTGTCCCTTCAGGTGTAAACTCTTGAGGTTTTGGTTCTTGGGGGACCTGGTTCTAAATTATTGAAAACTCCCAAGAAAATATCATTTATTTTGTGCTATATTAAATCAATGTGCAGGTCAAGGAGTATTTCTTTACTCACAGGCTCTTCAAGATGGGGAATCTGCCTTCTTTATCAACGAACTAGAAAGTCATGCCTCTCGGGAAGGTTCCCACCATGAGCTGAATGTTCCATGTTTACTTCTAGAAAATGATCACCTCCTTTGAACTAGTTAATGGAGATACATCAAGGATATCCTTAAAGAAGTGAGTGCACTGCTCTTTGGATAATAAGAAGTTTTTAGAAATATGGTAGAGAAACATCAGGATGTTTGAACTTTGGGAATACAACCTTCCCATCCCACCCATCCCACGCTTTCTAAAGAGAGCAGATTGGCCTTTTGTTGACATCCTTGTGAGACCAAACAACTGGTTTATGTGATTTTTTCTGAACAGTTTGTTTATTTCTTTATAATAAAGAGATACTGCAATGTCCATGAGGAATACTAAGGTCACAGAATGTTAGTTATGAAATAAGCATAGAGATCATTCTCCTTGTTTTATGGAATACTCAAAATGAATTACATTCAAATAAATTAATTAGTGGTTGGCCCAAAACTAGAAGCAGTCTGTACTAGCCCCTACACCCACACACTTATTTTGCCATATTTGGATTGACATAACAAAGCATTCATTGGATAATGCTCCTAACATGAGCCTAGAATTGTCTTTGTGACTGCTGAAAATATATTTCACATATCATGATAATGATAAAATAATAAGTTAGTCACTGTTAATATCAGATATCAAACTGCACATATTACTATATAATTCAAAAGTAGTATTTTGCTCTAATTTTATTTAAAGAGGACATTAATCGAGGTGATAATAAATGTTATTTTAAAACCAGAAGTTTTTCATATAACTTATCCTATTAATGATCTTCTATTCTACTAGGAATTTTAAACAGCTTAATTTTTTTCTTCCTTCATTAATGAGTCAGAAAGCAATATTTTCTTGGGTGTGTTCCCTGCATAAAGAATTATGCATTTGATATTTTACATATATTATTACTACTACTGATATTTTCTAAAAGATTTCAGATAAATGCCTTAAAAGAAGTTTATATAAAATATGGGAAATCACATTTAAAAATTCTGTGTCATTTTGGTGGAATAGATGCTTAATTTTCCATACAACTTTCATGACAAGCTGCTGTCCAACGTTTGCTATGTCACTTGAACTCAAAGGCAGCTCCTTTCCCTTCCTTCCATAGCATCCTACTCCTGTATGAGTAACCTCAGTGCCAACTGTGTACATTATCCTTTCCAGACCCTTTTATAAGTGGGGGTAGGGAATAGAGTGACAAACACATATATGAATAGTGTCTTAATAATATTAGAATGGTAGTGATCATTCAGTTAAAACAGGAACTTCCCTGTTTAGCCTTTCCCAGATGTCTGATGTTAGAATCTGAGTATCTCACTGGTTTTTACAGTATTCCCATTAAGGATATTCTCAAATGGGTTTTATTTTTCCATCATACAGTAAGCTGAAACATAGAGAGCATTCTTATTTCAAATACAGTTTTTATACATTGAGGGAATTCTAGATAATACAGTTGGACTCTTTTTATAGGAGAGAGGACCAGATCAAGTGTAAACTGCCCAAGTTTACACAGTATCTTTGCACAGCTGCCTAGACCAAGCATCTAGGAATATTGTCTTATAGTTTCAATAATTGTCCTTAATTATAGACTTTTTTAAGATAATCTGTCATTGGCTTAAAATATTATTTATAACTGTTGAACATATTTTTTTTAATAATAAAATTCTTTTTCTTATAACAGATTACAACTGACCAATGGGAGATAAGAATCAGACAACAGTGACTGAATTTCTCTTCTTGGGCCTCACAGGGCATCCCCTTCAGCAGATTGTCCTCTTTGTCACACTTCTCTTCGTCTATCTTGTCACCCTCGGAGGTAACCTGGGGATGATCACCCTCATATGGATGGATCCCCGACTCCATACTCCTATGTACTTTTTTCTTAGCCACTTGTCCTTTGTAGATATTTCTTCCTCTTCTTCTATTGCCCCCAAGATGCTATGCGATATTTTTGCAGAGAAAAAAGGCATCTCTTTCATGGGTTGTGCTGCACAGATGTGGGTCTTTGGCCTCTTTGTGGCAACTGAATGCTTCCTCCTGGCTTCCATGGCCTATGATCGGTATACGGCCATCTGTAAGCCCCTATTGTACACACTCATCATGTCCCAGAGGGTCTGCATGCAGCTGGTGGCGGGGCCTTATGCCATGGCTCTTCTGAGCACCATGACGCATACAGTTCTCACTTTTTGCTTACCCTTCTGTGGTCCAAATATCATCAACCACTTCTTCTGTGATATTTCACCACTGCTTTCCCTAGCGTGTGCAGACACCTGGGTCAATAAGTTGGTGCTTTTCATCTTGGCTGGAGCCATAGGAGTGTTCAGCAGCCTGATCATCATGGTCTCCTATGTTTGCATCCTGGTGGCCATCTTGAAGATCCAGACGGCTGACGGGAGGCAGAAGGCTTTCTCCACTTGTTCTTCTCACCTGGCAGCCGTCTCTCTCCTAGCTGGGTCTCTTTTCTTTATCTACATTCGGCCTGGCTCAACTTCCTCCCTGGATATCAATAAAGTGATTTCCTTATTTTATACTGTGGTGATCCCCATGTTGAACCCCCTCATCTACAGCCTAAGGAACAAGGAGGTACAAAATGCATTCAGGAGAAATTTTGAAAGGAAAAAAGTTGAAAGTTGATAAAATAGCATTCTAATTGTGTTGCACCACAGACGTGATTCAACAACGTGTGGTTCACAGACCGCGGCACTGAGAATTAGAAGCTCTCCTTAATTCCTGGATCTGTTAGTTACCTGGTCACTTATATATTGTAAATACTGTTTATATTCTTTTAACTTCAGTCTTCTCCTTCGTAAAATCATGGGGAATACAAAATAATTTGCAGGTATATTAAAGGTATAAATGTAATATATGCCAGAAGAAAATCTAGGAGAACATTTATATATTCTTATTTGTGGGAAGGCATTTCATTCCTGACCAGAAAGTCAAATGTTGTAAGGAAATCAATATATAAGTAGAGTCTATTAATAAAGGCTTCACAGACCTTTTTAAAATTTGAACAATGAAAGTGAGAAAACAATTGCAAAACAAGTGACTCACAATGAGTTAATGTCCCAATAGTAGTGTTAGAACATATATGTATACATACATATATATATATGAAATACAGTAGAGAAGTGGACCAACAAATGGATGGATAGTTGACACAATTAGAAATGCAAATGGCTGAAAATATAAATTTATAAACATATCTATAAATTCAACTTCACAGTTGCTCAAATAAATGAAATATTATCACAATGATAATGTAATTCCTTTTTCCTTCCATCTATTTGGCCAACATTGAAATGATTATGTGCAATGCTGGTCAGGTTACCATTTGGATATGGGCATTGGTTTTACATTTAGCTACAGTAGCTACATTTTCAGAAAATAATTTTGATGATTTCAATTATAATGCACACAATCTTTGACGTATCTTACATTTGGAAATCTATTCTATGGAAATATAGATACTAGACACTAATGTTGTAGCATCATTTATAGGGGGAATAAAAGGAAACGACCTGAATTTGTATCATTAGGGGAAATATAGCTCTTTGAAATGTTGTACAGCAAAGTAGAGAAAGATTTAGATATTCATACTTCGGTTTGAAGAAAACTGATACAATCATTGATAGATGGAAAAAATCAAGTCAAAGTTTAACCTGTAGAACTAATCAAACTTTGTAAAAAAAAAAAAAAAGGTGGGGTCAGACCTATCTAATGTGTAAAATATATTGATATGTGCATATTTAAATGATCATATTTTGTTCCTTGGTTTCAAATCATGTGGTTATATGCCCAGTTATTTTGCATTTTATAGCTGGCATTGAAAAATAAAAGTGATAAGTTGAGGCTTAATATAGTAACTTACTCTAGAGAGGGTTTATGTTTGCTTCTGCCAGGTGAATAGGACAACTAGTAATCCCGGACAATGTTATCAGCAATCTTGGACAATGTCAATCAGGGACTGAGATGAGAGAAAACTGGCTATGGGTTTTATGAAGGCTAATCTGGTTTGTCCACCTTACTCCTGTGTCACAGAGATTCTTAGCTTTGGATGCTTTTTCTAGAATTAACTGACACCTCTTAGGAAGAATAGCTGTAGGAGCTGGGCATATATCACTCTGAGATCCCTTCTTTCTTGCATTATCCTTGTAATTCTTTCCATTCATATTAACTTTCTTATGCTATCAAACAGATGAACATTGTGTTCAGTGTTTTGAAGTTGTGCTGTGTCTTTCTGACAGAATCCCATTAATTTTTGACCTCTTTCTGGAAAAAGTCTCACCTTGTGCTTTTCATATACTAGATTCTGATTCAGCTTTTTTGCTAAGGAGTGCTCAGTATTTTTAGAGGAAAATTGCATTTAGAAATCAAGATTTGTATGTTAGGGGTGCTGAATGCTACTGAAGTGTCTTGCTTCTAATTGGCATGCCATCACTTCTGTGCCTTCTTGGTGGAGAGAGCTAGGAATTACATTTTTTAGAAAGATGTAAGTTCTAATTTTTATTTGCAGTTCAAACTTAACATCACAATTAATTTTAACTTCTTTTATTTATATTTTAACATTTTTCTCTTATAATGAAAATCTTGGTACCTAATTAACTCTAAGATTTACTTCTTTGTCATGTAGTACACATAAAATACTTTTAAATTATAAAAACAAGATCACTACTAATATCTTCCATCTGAGTTATAACCTTTTATAATAAACTGGTACTCGAATGAGTAAAATGTTTCTCTGAGTTCTGTGAGCCATTCTAGCACATTAATCAAACCTGAGGAAGAGGTCTTTGGAACCTCCAATCTATGACTGGGTTGGTCAGAAGCTCAGGTGACAACCTGAACTTGCGACTGGCATCTGAAGTGGGGAGTGATCAGGAGACTTTTGTGTTAAAAAGCCACCTAGAGGAATTGTTTCAAGAAAGAGGAAGTAATTAACAATGTGAAGTACTGCATTATATTGGATGATTAGTGGTAACTTATCATTGCATTTGGCAATGTGAGCATCATTGGAGACCCTGAGAAGAGCAGAAGTGATGGGGATAAAAACCTACTTAGAGTGGGTTCAAGAGTGAAAGTCAGGAGAGGAAGTGGACACAGCACTACAATATTATAGACTGTGGATGAGCCAGTTCCTAGAGCATGCCTGATGAGCAGACAGGAGTTTAAGCATATTAGATATTACAAAATAATTATATCTGATTGGACTGCTCTGAGAAAAAAGGGAAATCTGAAGATGCAAAAGTGTGGTGAATTGTGTAAAAATCTGGTTTTCAAATAACTAGAGCTTGTATTTCTTTGTAACGCTCACTTTCTTTTTCTTTGATAACTTTAATGTTATCCTTCTTTAACATTCATTTCTTTCCAAAAAGTTTTTTTTATCCAATTGCTAGTGCTGCCATAACAAAACACTACAGGCTGGGTGGCACAAATGAAATAAATTAATTCTCCTTTTTGGCTGCAGATTCCCACATTCTTGTTGGGGTCTCATATGCCCTTTTCCTGTGTATGCCTTCTCCAGTGTCTCTTCATTTTCTCATAAGGACACTAGTCCCAGTAGAGTAGAGTCCCATCCTTAAGACCTCATTTAACCTTACTTATTTCATTAAAGACCCTATCTTCAAATACAGTCATATTGGGGGTTAGGGCTTCCACAGATAAACTGTGGGAGGACACAATTCAGTCTGTAACATACATTAGAGAGGACATTTTTGAAAGTTCAAGCAACAAATGCATAGGTGCTTCATGCATTTATTAAACAGTCTATGACCTAAAACTAATCATTTCAAACTGAAATGAACTCTTACTCTTGAAATCTCATAAAAACTATCATATGAAACTTAGAATAGTGGTTGCTATGGAATTTTCCAGGCCCTTTGATTTCTAATTATGTATAGATTAGAACTTACATGGGATTTAGTTTGTAAAGCTTTATTCTCGGGTATAACCTAATGTGAATGATTTAAAAGTTAAAAATATGGCATATTTCACTGACAACTGGAAATGTTTGTGCGGAGTTTTTGACCCCTAGAGGTACATTACTTGTATAAAAGTGTACCTGTAAATGGTCTTTGGGAGTCCTTTCCTTAATTGAGAACTTATCCCAGTTATTCTAAATAAACCTAAAACAAGGTATTTTAAGTTGTGTAGTTTTTTGCTACATGTTTGTTTGATTTTTATACACTTGTGTCTAGTCTCCCAAAATAACCTGTACCAACTTTCAGGGGCAGTTTTCAATTGTGAACTTCTGTCTCATAGCATCCAATGCTTCTTGTTCAATACAGCTCTGCTCCATTTTTCAAAGATGGTCCCAAGATGAGAGCATATTTTTCTTCAGAAGACTTCCCCAGAGGAAAAAAATCCCATTGTGAGATAATATTGGCTCAAAGTCTGTAACATCTAGTTTAGTTTCTTCTCTGTGGATATAAACTCTTGAGGCTCAGGGTTCTTTAGGGATCAGGTGTCAACTGACTCAACTCTTTCAAGAAAAATAGGCACTGCATACTTGCCATATGAGAGCCAGAACAGGGCAAGGAATCATTTTATGTGTGTTGAAATCCCAGGTTGATCAGGACCAAGATAACCCATCTTTTTCAACAGAATATAAGAATTCATGATAATACTTCAAGAATACCACATTGTGGCACTTAATTCTTCTTGTCAGAGGCCAGGAGTCCACACATTTTGATAAAGTTTGGAAATATTTAACAGAGGTGAATAAAGGATTTTACCAAAGAGGTAAGGTTGCTGAGACTTTGGATAAGCCAGGTTAATAAAATGATATTATGATTACATGGCCAAGATTATTATTTTTTAACTCTCCAAATAGAATAGCTTGGCTCAAATATCCATGTGCATGTTTCCCATTCAACACAAAATTTATATCATTCTTAAATCTGGATAGCAGCTCTTTTTGCGTTACCAAATGTTCATTTGATCTCTCCATTTTAGTGAGGATCTGGTGATGTAACATGATTAGCAATCCACTGCTGGTGGTTTTTGACATACACTTTTTCAAAACTAAGTGTATGTGAATTCTATTTCATTCTTTTTCCTGCAGTTATTTGTGCCCACTCATGAGCAAATAAAAATATTACCTACAGTGGATTATAGTCCTGCTGGAAGCTTAGGTTGGTAGATGAAATATCATTAAATGACATTCACCCATTGACTAGAGCAAACATAATCCCTAGGCATCTTCCAAAACAATTTAGTGGAGAGATAAAATATGCAATCACTCTTGCCAACTATAGTTCTATCACAATAGCAATTGCATTTTATATTAAATATTATTAGATATCATAGGACAATGACATTTTACATTGTCCTTGTTTATGCAGGTGATTCACTGGGACGTTCGCATGTAGAGAAATGTAAGTTGACTCTGTGTCCGTGCTTGGAAGACTTTATGTGTGCATGTGTTATCTGAGGATCCTGTTAAAATGCAGAAGTTGATTCAGTTGAATTGGAGTGGGGCTTCAGGTTCCACGTTTCTGATAAGCTCCTCGGTGCTGCTGGTGCTGTTCATTCATGGGCCACACATTGAATGGTGAGGCTGCAGTGTTCAGATGCCTGACCCACAGTGTCCTACACCTTGACTTTCTGTGGGTTATTTGAAATAGTCTGTTCCTCCTTTCCTATTCCCATTTTAAGTTCCTTATCAACATTAATAGTCTATTTTATGGATCAGGAACTTATCAACATTAATAGTCTATTTCTTACACATCTTAAATAGTGTTCATATGGAATATGAGAAAGTATAAAGACAATCCCATTATCCTGTAGGAGAATAAGATACTTAATGACAGAAACTCAGGTGTACAAATGCCTACAGATGGATTTCTCAGCTCATTCATTTCTTTTTCTCTGCAATATTCTTGACACATTGCTGTCCTGTCACTGCCTGAGTGTGTCCCCTAAAATGATGTGGATCTTTGTACCTCCAAAAGCTCATTCTTGGAATTTCCTATTCCTTGAAAATTACCTTCTTGAGCTTAAATTTTTGACCTTACACCTGAAATCCCCTCAGATAACATCTGTTTCCTGGGGCTTCTCAGAGAAAAAAGTAAAACTGCCATTGTTCATAAAAGGCTTTTGCCAAAATAGCTCTTTCAGTATGTGAAGATTGCATATTCTCTGATCTTCTCTCCAGTCGAAGCCCACATTTCCAAGTAAGATCTCAGCATTACCTGAGATTGTGCTGCCGGCTGTATTTTTAAAATGTTTGTTAATATGCTTGTCCTCTCCATGTATCTTTGTTGAGAATCAGAGTGACCTATGTGCCATCTTCATAATTATACAATGATACTGTCCAGAAATGATGTAGGGTTGGAGAAAATATGGTTGAAATTATAGTGACAATTTTTCTTTCCCTTTTATTCATTTATTTGAGTATCAACTTCTCCCCTCCATGCACTCTGAGAAACACCGGGGATACAATATTAGTAAGGCAGATTTGCTTTGCTCATATAGTTCTATCTTGGGAATAAACGCAGTATATTTGATAAGTACTTTATTAAAGGGATGTTATGGTGCTATGGAATTACAATGAGAGAGAAACAAATGGTGACCTGGGGTTCTGGGAAAACATAGCAGAGGAAGAGAAGAAAAGGAGCAGGGAATTAATTTTTAGTGAGCACTTACTATCTAGCAAGTGTTTTGCATATTTTATTGAATGCACTCTTTCAAATAGTTCTGTAAGCTAAGAATTCTTCATTTCTTTTTAACATGCTTTAAAAATACAAAGCCATATACACAGAAAGGAGCAGAGCTGGTGTTTAATTCTAGGTTCACTTCATTTGAGCTTTGTGCTGATTCCCTTCTCAAATAGTAGCATTTGAGCTGAGATGCCTTCTTTTCTTCATAACACCCTTGTTCCCTGAGATGATATATGTTTACACACTGTGGTGGGTTGAAGAGTGTCCCCCAAATCTTCATGTCCATCCAGAACTTCAGAATGTGACCTTGTTTGGAAGTAGGCTCTTGGTAGATGGAATTAAGTTGAGGTCATATTGAATTAGGGTGAGTTCTAAATCTAATGAATAGCGTCCTTATGAAAAGAGGAGAGGATACAGAGACGCACAGAGGTAGAGGCTGTGGGGAGATGGGCTCAGAAATGGCATTAATTTGTCACAAGCCAGAGGGCACCAGAAGGCTCCGGAACCTGGAAGAGACAAGGAATGATTCTCCCTTCGAGGCTTTGGAAGAAGTATGGCCCTGCAAACACCTTGATTTCAGACTCCTCGTCTCCAGAACTATGAGAGAATAAATTTCTGTTGCTTTAAGCCACCGAGCTCATGGTCATTTGTTGTGGCAGCCTTAGAAAAGGAATATACATGTGGATATTCATTTATGCATTTGTGGAGAGTTTTGTATTTGACTGGAAAGTGAGGTTCATTTATCTCACAAATACTTTGTCTTTTGCACAGATAAAGCTACAGCATTTAGGGCCCTGCCTGGGGTCCTGTGGGCAGCCCAGGTGTTGACTAAGGTGATAAGTGAACAAGTCTATGAATTCCAGATTTTTGATACTTTCTCTTTTCCCCTGTAAAGAAAATTTCCCTCTTTGTATGTTGAAAAACAGCAGTTTTAGAGTTTTTATTAGCATATTGTTAGGATGCAGAAGTATCTAGTAATAGGTGTGGAGTAGAAAGGTTTTTCCGTCTCAGTAGTGTGAGTTACCAGACCCAGTTGAATACACTAAGGATTTGAGCATTTTATTTATTCTTAAAGTTTTCCTGTGATGTGGAGCCAGAGCTAATCATTATTCTTCCATCCAGCTGAAAGGAAATGGAAACTAGATGTTACTGTCTAAAAATGTGAAATTAAAGAGATAAATGCTTAGGCTGTTCTTACAAGTTAAGTAAGTAAAAACCACAGGCATGAAGTATAAATTACCCACGTGACACAGACCACTGGCAGAACAGTTATATCTAGAACCCAGAAGTATGATTAATTCCATGAATGTTTGCAGTATGTCTCATGATTTGAAAACATTTATTTATAGCATATTATGGTTCAATAAAGCTGAGTAGTAAACTCAATGGTGATTGCTATGTTTGAACTGTTTGGTATAAAAAGCAAACTACCCTGAGCTATAAAAGCAAATATTTACATTATCTGAAGAATAGATAGTTTAATTACAGCTGATGGATTCAAAGGCTATATAGTTTTGTTAATTATTGATTGATAAAAAAAAGATTTTCCTTTCTCTCATTACAGATGATCACCCAACAATGGATGATAAGAATCAAACAGTGGTGACCGAATTTCTTTTTGTGGGCTTAACAGATCACCTTCTACAGAAGATTTTTCTCTTCTGGGTGTTTCTCTGTGTTTACCTTGTCACATTGTGGGGGAACTTGGGGATGATCGCTCTGATATGGATGGACTCCCGACTCCAGACCCCCATGTACTTTTTTCTCAGCCACTTGTCCCTTGTGGATGTCTGCTTTTGTCTTCTGTCGCTCCAAAGATGCTGTATGACACCTTTCTGGAAAGAAAAGTCATCTCCTTCGTGGGTTGTGCTGTACAGATGTGGTTTTTCGGTCAGTTTGTAGTGACGGGGTGCTTCCTCTTGACATCCATGGCGTATGATCGGTACCTAGCCATCTGTAACCCTCTGTTGTACACAGCCATCACGTCCCGGCGGGTCTGTGTGCAGCTGGTGGTGGGCCCGTATGCCGTGGGCATTCTAAGTGCCATTACCCACGAGACCTTCACTTTTCGCTTACCCTTCTGTGGTCCGAATGTGGTCGACCACTTTTTCTGTGACATTCTCCCTCTTCTTTCCCTGGCGTGTGCTGATACTTATAACAATAAGTTGGTTCTTTTCATCATGGCTGGACTAATAGGAGTACTCAGTGCACTGGTCATCCTGATCTCCTATACTCACATCCTCAAAACCATACTGAATATCCACTCCACCAAGGGGAGGAGAAAAGCTTTCTCTACTTGCTCTTCACACTTGTCTGCTGTGGCCATCTTGTACGGTACCCTTTTCTTTATTTACATACAGCCCAATTCAAGTTCATCTCAGGACATTAATAAAGCAGTTTCTGCATTCTATACCACACTGATTCCTATGCTGAACCCTCTTATTTACAGCCTGAGGAATGCAGATGTAAAAGATGCTTTTAGGAAGAATTTTCTGCTAAGAAGGTAGTTTGGAGGCGGCTTTTGCCATTGTACAGGTGGTGCAGCTAAAGTGTGTATTAAGTGTGTATTAAGAAGAGAACTGGACTTGGCCTAAGGAGTTGTCACTTTAAACCTTGACTCCTCCAATTATCAGGAGGATTAAAAGCAGATGAATCCTATACCATTCTTGGTTCTTTATGTCTTATTTTGAAAAATGAGGATAATAAACTCACTTCCATCTAAATTACTTTCTTCTCTAAAGTTCTATGATTTTACACAATACGTCTAAACTTCTATGAATGCCATCTTTTCATATAGTGGTGAAAAAGAAAATTAAAAAAAAAAGAGTTTCCTAGCAATTATACCCCTAGCTTTCGAGTTTTCCTTCTAGGTATTTTTCTTTCTTTAGGACCCTTGAATTCAGTGCCTTCCCTGGAGGGTTTTTAAACTCAATGCTTTATAACAACATAGGTCTTTGTTAAAAATGATTGAACACAAAAAACAGAATGAAATTTTAACCCTTTATAAACAAAAAGTTGAAGCCCTAGATGGAAAACTGTAAGGAAATAAACATCATAAATGGTTTGTTCACAAATTATACATAATACATATAAGGGCACCTGACATAGTAAGTTCTCAGGATAAAAAGTGTTAAATGAGTTAGTGAATAAAACAAATATCAGACATGTAATTACTTTGTCATATTTATAATCTTGCCTCACAACCTAGAAGCAGACGTGGTTTAAGTATATATCTCCTACTTCTCTTGGGATCAATCTCTCTGCTCACTGATGTCTTTAAAATTTTTTTCAGTTTTCTCCAACTTTAGTGGGGTATACTTGACACATATAACTGTAAAATTCAAACTGCCCATGTGATGATTTGATACATGTGTACAGTGTGACAGGTTTCCCCCTGTTGAGTTAATTTGCATCTTTCAGCTCATATACTTGTGTGTTTCTTTTTTTTAGTATGAACATTTAAGTTTTATTGTCTTAACAAAGTTCAGTTATTATCAGCTAAAGTCACTGTGTTATACATTAGACCCTCAGACCTTGCATCTCACAATGGGACTTCGGTACTTTTGATGTCTTTCAACTTAACCTGATTTAACACCCACATTGCTCCCTATGGGACTGACCATTCCCTAGAATGACTCATTCTCATCCTGTCTGTCTGTGATTGCTTTTAGTTTACAGTCTAGGTTTTTTTATTTCGACCACTCTAGCTATTGTTGCTACTAACTGCTTACTCTGTTGTTACCTGGGGTTTTTAATAATTTCGGTAATTAGCAATGTGACAGTGAATTCCTTATTATTAACTGTGGTGGCAGAAAAATAGTAAAGAATGTTATCATACTTCAAGTAAACTGGAAGATGGAAATATGAAAGACATGTTATTTCACTAGCTCTCTATTCTGGCCTTCTGGGGGTTCCATCCTGTCTACTGGCCTCTATTTTTTGGGGAGCCAGTTGCTCCTGTGGCTATCAGCTAGCTCGCTTTTCTGTAACACTGTCTCCTGCTGCCAGACCTGATACAGAGAGGAGTCTGTAAACATGTAAGTGTCATTGGTGCCATTTTGACCAGCGTATCCTTATGGTCTTAATGGATGATATGTCCTCTGGGCATTCCCTTGCAACATAGTCATCAGATAAGTGCTCTAGTTGTGAATTCTAGATTCCCTATGTCCCTGAAACTATTAATCTATTTCTAAACTGCCTGTTACAGTTATTTGGCCAACTATAAGTCATCACTTTTCTCATGCATCCATTCAGGTAGAGAATTAACATCATCTCTTTGGGTGTTAAAGCCTCTATCTCAGGAGAGTGTTCACAAGTCAAAAATCTTCTTTTATCAGTTTTATATTCCGGTCCCCTTGACCAAGCACTGTCAGAATGCAGTCCTACAATACTGCTCTGTCTTCTCCTAGTACATACTAATTAGCTATTGCATTTTTTCAGGGAGTGGGGGCAGGGGGAATAGCCCCCTGCCTCCCTTATCAAATCCAGGAGCCTCGTATTTGGATTTTCTATGACTTAACCCCAATTGTAGGATTATATGGGAAGGTGGAGGAGCTCTCTGATGAGAGGGGAATTGCTCAAGAGACAGAGACCTCTATGTTTTCTTACAGCTTGGAGAAATAGTTTTTAATGGAGATGGGAAGGCTATGTCTGTATGCTTAGGTTGTTCTGAGTCAATATCTTCAGACGCACCCACCCAGACATCCCCATCCCAAGAGTTAGAGTCCCAATATCAGAACTTGATATAACAAACATGCTTCGTTTGGACACTGAATTGTCTTTCAAGTTCAGACAGTAACATTATTAAATCCTGATCCTGGTCCTTGGTGTCTTTCTACCCTGCATACAGTGAAGATCAGGATTTCAATCTGCCTAATCAAAGACGGCTCTTGGCTTTCACAACTGGCTTCCAATTGCTACTCACTCTCCCTCTACTGTGGATCATTAATGGCTGAGTGATAGCCGTCCAATCCCACTACCCTTATAGCTACTATTCCATTCACATATTTCCAAAACCTGAGTAAAATGAATGAGTGTTGGAGTGTGGTTAGCTGTACTTCTTTCTTTCTTTCTTTTACAAAGGATGAGTAGAAATGGCCTCTATGATGAGCGGAAATCTGAATGAAGTTAAAAAGAAAATCATGCAGATATTTGGAGAGAAACATACTTTCAACAGAAGGAAGGAAGAGGAAGATTCCGGGGTAGAATCCTGCTTCGCTTGTCCTGGGAATGGAAAGTTGACGGAGTTAGGTGATAAGAGATAGGAGAATCTAGATCTTTCTATGAATTCACTTCTTTGGGATCTTCTGAGGTTTGAATTAGCTTGTACTTTCAAAGCACTTTGAAGAATGCCCAGCATGTAGTAAACATCTCCAGGGACAATTGAATGGTTCTGTGACACCTTCTATGTGAATAAATTGATGTCATCTCTTTTCTGAAATACCTCAAACAGCTCCTCATCGCTTACAGAAATAATTCAAACTCTCTTGCTTAATGTTAAAATAGTTGTGAAGTTTGAACCCAAATCTGTTTTTCCACCCTTATACTTGAGATTTTCATATTGCCAGTCTGTGTGGACTACTTATGTCTTTCAAAGATGCTGTCCAAATTGTGGCTCTTCATTGCCTCCTAGACACCCCCAGAGCACCTCATTTTTACTTAGTTGTATATTAGCCTCCTTTGGGATTCATCACAACCAAGAGACCATTTCCAAACCCTCTGGTGAGAGTGATCCCACCCTCCTAGGAACTCATGGGCCAATCATGGGGTCCCTCGTGCTGCTGTGTACCCAGACTCACCTTCTGATTGCAAGCTTCCTGAAATAGGGCTGTATTTTAGATTCTTGAATCTGCACAGTGCCAAAGATTGGAGCTCCTCATGCCACAGTTGAAAACTCAAAACTGGAATTTCAAAGTGTGTGTGTGTGTGTGTGTGTGTGTGTGTGTGTGTGTGTGTGTGTGTGTGTATGGTACCAAAGGGAGAGGCAGTTTTATTTTGTGCAATTACTTGACTCAGAGCCCTTAAATTATTTTCTCCTAAAATAACATTAATATCTTCTCTATCGGGCTAATCTCCTGAGCATTTGGTTCCTGGAGGGAGTTGGCTCCAATTTACACAACCTCTGCTGTGTGTTGTGCAGAATTGAGTCAATTACTCTTTTTTAAAGTGCAACTGGAAGGCCCAGGTTTCAAGATGGTATTGTGATATTGTTAATCTTCCTAGACACCTGGAGAAGCTGAGAAGAGTGACAAGTCTAGTCTTGTAGGATAATTCCTCTTCATATCCAGAATGTTAATTTTGTGATTCCCTTTGTCATAAGTAGGCTGAGTCTAGGGCATGTTTCTTCAGACAGGTGAGTCATGCGATTTCCTAAATTGCAGTCAGGAGGATATATATAGAACATTATTTTAGGAGCCTGGGAAAATATCATCTCTAAGCTTTTGGTGAAGAATAATTTGATACAAATAGGATATTCAGTCTCCATCTTTTTGTTTAAGTGATCTGACTTGAATGTGCATTTTGGTTGAATTTTGCATTTGGTGCAAGAGATAGGGGCAAGTGCTGCAAGCTTAAAGGGCTCATAGAATGTCAGAATTAAGAGGTATTGGCTTTTCTGGGTCTTAATTTCTTTACTTTTCCTAGTTTGGGTATTGTAAGTAGGCAATGAACCTCTGAATCAGCTGATTTGAATTCTGTGTTGCACATGCTGAAAGCCACATGCATACCTAGGATTTTGATTTTTCTGTATTAGAATCTTTGTATTGGGGTAAGTCTGGGAAAAATAAAGTAATATACATTTGGGCAGTCAGAAATTATTGTTTTCAAACAATAGTTTGGTTGAGATCACAGATGGGTATATTCTAGTTTCATTCTCATACATATTTTTCATAATCTAAATTTATTGTAAAAACTAAAATACTTTGTTTCCATCTTCCTTGAGTAGTAATAAATACAAGTTCAAATGACCTGATATGATCCTCTAGTTTAGAAAATACTAAGTTCTTGAAACATTTTACTACTAAGGTACATTTTTCTGACAAATCTTAAATTCCACCTCTTCAGGCCATTTTTTTCCAAGCTCCATGGCCTTTGAGACCACAAAAGGCCAGTGACTTTTCATCTCATTAATTTCCTTAATTATTTCCTTACTCCTTAATTTCCTTACTTCTGTTGAGTAAACCCTTTACAAGTTTTCTTACTGGGGAAGATGTTGTAAGACTTCTGTCAATATTTCTCCTGCTGCACACCCCATTAATATTTTTTGTGTGATTATGCTTTGGAATTGTTAGCATTTTAATGTTCAAAATGTATGCCTCTCTTTTTCCATTTTCCTTTTGTTTGTGCTATGTTCACTTCCTTTTTCTCTCATTTCCCATTCATTATTTTTTCTAAAAAAAACACCTTTTATTTTTGACTACATAAAGATTGATAGGAAGCCTCAAGGTGGCCCAGAGAGGTCCCATGTACCCTTCACTCAGTTTTCCCCATGGGTACATCTTACCAACTACAACAACAGGAAAAATAGGGCATTGACATGGAGATGATGTGCGTACGGTTCCACATCATTTCTTCACATGTGTAGATTTGTTCCCAGCACCACAATCAAGACCCAGAACTATTTTATCTCTACAAACTCTTCCTTGTGAGATTGTGATGCCCTTCATGGTCACGCCACCACTGTCCTTCCCACCTTGCTTTCTGCAAGTCTATTCCATGAAGCTAAAAGTGGAAGATAATTCATTATTAAAATGAAGAAGCTCAATTATGAACCGATTTCAACTTGAGATCTTTCTCATTACAGATTAAATCAGAGAATGGATTATGGAAATCAAACTTTGGTGACTGAATTTTTCCTCATGGGCTTACCTGATCGCTTTCCGCAGCAGGTGGCTCTTTGGGATATTTCTCGTGGTTTATCTCATCACTGTTCTGGGAAACCTGGGGATCATCACCCTCCTTTGGCTGGATTCCCGACTCCACACCCCCATGTATTTTTTCCTCAGTCACTTGTCTTTTGTGGATGTCTGCTTGTCTTCCGTCATTGGTCCCAAGATGTTGATGGACATCTTTATGGAGAAGAAAGTAATCTCTTTCTTTGGTTGTTCTGCCCAGTTATGGTTTCTTGGTCAGTGTGCAGTGACTTGAGTGTTTCCTCCTGGCTTCCATGGCATATGATAGGTACACAGCCATCTGTAAGCCATTGTTGTACATGCTCTTTATGTCCCAGCGGGTCTGTGTGCAGCTGGTGGTCGGGCCCTATGGCATGGGTCTCATAAGTGCCATGACCCATACAACACTTGCCTTTCACCTGTCTTACTGTGGCCCCCAAATCATCAATCACTTTTTCTGTGACCTTCTTCCTGTTCTCTCCCTGGCATGTGCAGACACCCAGGTCAATAAACTTGTACTGTTTACCTTGGCTAGAGCTCTAGGAGTGCTCAGTGGTATGATCATCTCAGTTTCCTACGTTTACATCCTCACTGCCATCCTGAGGATACGCTCAGCCGAGGGGAGGCACAAGGCCTTCTCCACCTGCTCTTCACACCTGACGGCCGTCTCCATCCTTTATGGGACACTCTTCTTTATCTATGTACGTCCGAGTTCTAGTTTCTCCCTGGACATCAATAAAGTAGTTTCTGTATTTTACACAGCCATGATTCGCATGTTAAATCCCCTTATCTACAGCCTGAGAAACAAGGAAGTCAAGGATTCATTCAGAAGGACGTTTGAAAGGAAGAAGTTTCTTGTGGGTAGATAGCTAGAACACCATTTGTACTGCAGGTTGAGAGGGAATGCATATGCAAGATGCAGGAACATGGGTGAGGTGTTTTGTGTCCTGCTTTTATGTTGAGCCTAGATTGTCATTATTTTGTATCATTGAAAAGTCATGCAATGTCTTTCAGTTATAATTTTCTTATTTCTATGTGCTCATATTTCATTCAGCAGCAATGAGATTTAGAACTACAAACTGAGATAAGTGGATTTTTGAAACCCAGAGATTTAAAATATATTTCCAAGGTTTGTCACGGGGATATGAGAAAATCTGTGTTAAATTCTGAAATAATGTTATAGTCATAACCAGTGATTTAACAATAGTTCTGTTTTGCTTACAGTGAGATCCCTCAGTTGTCTACTAGCTTGGCTTTGCCTCTTTAAACATAAAATTTTAAGGCTATTATAGTCAGAAGATGGTAACTTCCAGTTATAAGATAAATAAGTTCTGGGAATGGTGACTATAGTCTATGAATATAGTGACTATAGTTAACATACCACATTTTATATTTGTATGTTGCTTAGAGAAGTTCTCTTCAGAATAGAAATTTGCAACCATCTAAGGTGACTGTTGCTAACTAAACATTGTGGTGATCATTTTGCAACATATAGATATATCAAATCTTTATTCTGTAATCATTATGTGGTACACCTTGTACTGAAACAATATATATATCAGTTACATATTAATGAAACTGGAAAAAGGTGAATTTTTCAGGAATTACATAACTCTAGCACTCTCTAATACTGTCTTCATGTTTAGACATTTCACAAACACCATTTATATCCTCTGTACTCTCGGGTCATAATATTATCTTGTTGGGATTTTTGCCACTAGAATCCCATGTGTAGTGCAGAATTCATTTGTGTTCTTTAATTGTTAGCTACTACTATTGTTATGTATTAATTTTTGTGTCACAGGCAGGACAATAACTATTTTTACAGAATAATGAGCCTGGCACCCATGAGGAATCAGTGGATTGTCCATGATAATTAGGTCTTACCCTTATATTTTCTCTAGGTACAGTATTCTTTCAACTATACTTCTATGTTTTGTTTTCTGGAACATAGCAATAAATCCAATAAATGAAGGGATAAACCATGTTTTTTGTACAGTTGTAAGACTCACTGGGAGCCATGCTTTGTCTTTTCTGGAAGCCTTTCTTTAGAAGGCACTTGATTTTGCTCCACTGACTTGGAAGGATTAAAATACTTGTTACCTTGTTACTACATGACTCTCCTGCATAAATTAAGATATTCCTAGGTATATTATGCTAGGTTAATTATGGTCTATTTCCTTGTACCTCCAAGCCCCATGCACCGTAGAAACAAAACAAAAAGCTGGGCATATTGGCTTGGTTGTCTTTAACAGTGCTATCTGTTACCTTTTTAAAAAAATCACTGCTTGGGGCCCACTGTCCTACGAGGGTGTGTGTACCACTCAGAGGTGTCCTCTTTGGGATTTCTCTGGTCAGCCTAGGGTGTTCTCTGTCTTCTACTATTCCTGTCTCTTCACCTGGAGCAGTGTTACAGTGCACTCCTTACCTCTTCTAAGTCTGCTCAAATGTCATCTCATCAAAGACCATCTGGACCTCTTTACAAAATAACTTTCTGCTCCTACTATATCTCAACCATTTATTCCTTTTTCTTTATTATGTTTTGAAGTAGTTAAAAAACATCCAGTATTATTTATTTACTTGTTTGCTTATCATGTGTCTCTCCCATAGAAGATGATTCATGAGAGAAGGTTGTTGTATGTTCACTATTTTTGCTTGACTCCACAGTCTGGCCCTCAACGTGTATTTGTGGATTGAACGATCAACATTTAGTCAACAGGATATTCTTTATTTGATGTACTTTATAGTTGGAAAGATGTAAGTTCAGTTTTCAACTCTGGCTGTGTTTTCTTGGATGGAAGGCTTATCTGCAAAATGGAAAAATGAATCAAAATAGAATGAATATACAAACACACATAAATACATATATGACTTAGATGGAGTTTGGCATGCAATAGATAATAAACAATGGTAACTTTTTAAGAATGAATTATTTAATGATTTTTTTTTTGCCATTTATCACTATATGGCAGTTCTAATAATATATTTTTTGGTAAAGTGATCATATTTTGCATTTTTTCCCCTGTGATATGTAGTTGTTTCTTTTTTGTAGACATTTACTTATTCTATGTGTGTTTACAATAGTATCCTGACTTTATTTTAAAGTTATATCTCTTATCTACAGAATTCCATCTTGGAAGGACTTTAACTGAAGTTCCTACTTTCCCAAAGCAAGTTATAGATGTATGACCTATGCTTGAACTATTTTTCCTTGAACTTGAGTTGTAAACAGACTGACACAAAGACAGAAAAATGATTGGAATACATACTTTTCAGCCAAGGTCTTCAGTGTAGATAGTCTCTGCCACTGGGATGGCCAGGGCTGTCCTGGTTCTTACTACCTGGTTCTTGTCTGCTCTTTCACCTTTCCATGGATGCTTGGAGTGACCTAATATATTTCCAATGAACTTCCCATTTCAGTGGTTTGCAGCTGGGGAACTCTGATACACTGTCCATATTTTTTGTTGTCAATAAAAGTATTCAATACTCATTGTTTTTTCTTTAACAACTTCTTCAGCAAAATCTAAGCTTAGAATGACTATTTAGTATACTCAGTAGAAGGGAATAGATTAAACTGGGATTTTATTTCTATTTGAATGTTAGCTGAAGGTCTCAGTAATTCCTAAATGATTCTGTTTTGATAATCAGCACAATTTCACTTGTTGAATAATCCTGGGAATAATTATCATTGACTGAACACCTACAGTGTACCAAGAATGAACTTCCAGAATTACCTCTGATTTCTGTACTATTTATTAAGCACAGAAGTAAACCATTACTATTTCCATTTTAAAGATGAATGTACTCTTGTAATTTTCTGTTGCTGCATTAACAAATGACTGCAACCCTAGTAATTTAAAACTATGTAAATTTGCTACCTTCCAGTTTCCATGGGTCAGCAGTCTGGACCCCTCATGGCCTGATGCTCCGCTCAGGGTCTCACAAGGCTGAAGTCAACATGTTAGCTGGTCTCTGTTCCTTTCTAGGATCTCTGTGGAAGACTCCATTTCCTAGCTCTGTGTGCTTGACAAAATTCATTTCCTTGTGGTTTGGCTGTGTGCCTGTTCCTCGCTGGCTGCTAGCTCCTAAAGGCTGCCTGCCTGTATTCCTTCTCTTGAGGCCCCTCCATCTTCGGACCAGCAGTGATACATCTAGTTCTTCCCACATTTCTAACACCTGTGACTCTTCTGCTCTCAGCTGGAGAAAGTTTTGGACCCACTCAGGTTATCCAGGGTAATCTCCCTCTTTTAAGATGAACTGTGCCATATAACATAATCATATGAGTGACTGACGGCTCATCAAATTCATAGGTTCCAGGGATTAGGGCAAAGATCAGAGACCTTTACAGGATCATTTAAGAAATTCTGCTAACCGCACTGATGTATACATAATCAACATCTATATACAGACAAGTAACCAAGGAAGGGGAAGAATTGGTGTTTAAGCAAGTCTTTGATAATACAGAATGTGTGTTTGTGTGTGTTTCTCTCCTGGGTCTGCAATTTTGATGTTTTTGTTCGTTTCTATACTAATGTAATTTTTAAAGCACTTAGTATACAGATATTTATTCTTTAATAATAATGCTATTGTATGTTTTCTGAGGATCTACTGTATTATAGACACTGTACTATGTTGTAAACATCTCATTGAATATTTTGGCTTCAATCTGTGATATGAGTTATCAGATCCACTTTATAGCTGGGTAGTTAAGCCACACCTTGCAGAACATCTGGGACAGTGAAGTGCAGAGAACTTGAGCCGCATGCTCAGACCAGAGGTCTATTAAATGGGAGAGGCCGTGTTTGACCACACTGACTCCTCCGAAGGCCGATCTTTTCATGTAGTCAGTGTAAGGCCATTCAGTAGTGACAGGACTTAATTCTTTTCTTTTTCCCCAGAATTTCTCTGGATTCACATTAGTTTCTTCTTCCAGACAAAAGTGAAGACAAAATGATTTAGATAGTTCTGATAAGATTTGTAAAACTATTAATTAAAAAGAATTTGATGGACAGCTATCCGAGGTAACCATGCGTTATCTCGCAGTGTTCTTTGGAAAGACAGTATTTTCAAATTGACTCTGATAAGCAGTTTCTTTTCACTTTAGTGTATTTTCTTTTGGAAATACCAATAACATTTGAAGTAAACAAGGTTATTCCTGTATAATTAGCATCCTCATTTCCTCAACATCTCAGAAAATAGAGGCATATGCTTAGTAGGGCCTTTGATAATCTCAATTCACTCCATGAAGATATAATCCTTGCCCTATTAGAATGTTTTTTTTTTTAGCAAAGGAAACAATGCATAAAGAAGGAATGATATTGTATGGTGGTATTTCTAATTGACAGAAGAGAGGCAAAAGGCATTGTTGAAATTCAAAGGGAGTAATGATTTTTGTCTATATAGGATCAGGGAAGATTTCCTGGGTGAGGTTATAATTGAGCCATGCATTGCAGAAGAGATGGAATTTTTTACCTCCAGTATTTCAAATGTAAAGGGAAAGTCAGCAGGGCTGTAAGGAAGGAGGGGCGCACTGTTGGTTCTGTGTGGCGTTGGCAAATCCTCAAGTCTGCTTGAATCTTATGGTGCTTCTCTAGTGGGAAAGGAAGGTGCTAATGTGTGTCTTGCTCGGATTGAAGAGGCGATGTTGAAGTGAATCCAGACTGAAATCTTTCTATAATATCGTCATGATTATGAAATTTCTATAGAAATTCAAAGGGCTAAAAATATCCAAGTTAATCTTGAGAAAAACAGTACAGGTGGGATATCTTCCCTTCCTGGGATATGGATTTACAAATCTATACTAATTAAGACAAGATTAACAAAATAGACAAATAGCCCAATGAGAGTAGAGACACCGGCTCTATGTATGAACGCATGCTGCCAGCTTATTGTGAAAGAATATACAGATGCAATGCACGGATACTTCATTTGACCAAGTAGTTCTGCAGGGTAGTGGGG